CTGGCTGGGACCACCTGCTGGGAGGGTCTGATGGGAAACGGAATCCATCCATGATAAATCCATCCGTACTCTTTTCCAGTAGAGTCCCCCTTCCAGTAGTTTCCCCAGGAGAGCTCCCTTTTACAGTAGTCACCCTTTCCAAGATTGGTGCTTAAGAACCCTGTTCTAGAACATGCTAAGTGGAAGTTTGAACACGAATGGCAACAAGGAGCTGGCCTTTCATTCCTGTCTAGATTTAGACCTTTGCCCCCAACCCTGTCACCTAGAATCTGTCTCTTTATGTCTTCAGCAGTTTGAAGCTAAGGCCTCTCTGTGAGCTCATACCAGATGAGTCTCTTTTGCGAGTGTTCCAAAGGTCTGAAGCTGAGTTCTCCTAGCTAGGTCTTATCAAATGATAAGGCTCCTCCCTGTTCTGGCACCTGGACTTCCTGTTGCATCCCTTCTCCAGCCTCTGTTCCATCTTACCTATGTATTTCCTCAAGGGTAGGACTGGAGCTTGGCACACTACTACTAAGAACAAAACGTTCATCGAGTAAACAAATTATTTTTGATAGAAGTTATATTAATTAACTCAGGATTAGAGGTGATGGATTATCAGGATGAAACCTTATCAATGTAACTGCGAGAAACTTTAAAGCACTGCAGAAACATGGAAGTCTTAAAGATCATATTAACAGACTCACTTTGAATAAAAGTTTCTCAGTTTATACCTGGATTCATGAAAGTCTGTGGCCCTTCAGTAACTTTGGCACCTAGTCAGATAATTCGTTATTATAAGGTGGCATTCACCATGTTTTTGATATGGGAAAGCTCAGAGCTAGGCAACTTCACAAGTATTTCTTTTAATTTTCATGTTGCTGAGTAAATACCTTCTATTATTCCAATTTTTGCATGGGACGCCGAGCCGCTCAGAGGTAACTTGCCAAATGCCACATATGAACCAAACTCCTAACCTCATTGCCTAGTGTAGCATGTTAATGTGTTAGGGAGCCTCTTCTGAGACACTTCCTTTTTTGTCTTAGAGAAGCAGCACACTCCGTGTCATTACACGTGATGCTATGGATGGCGCTATCAGAACTTAATGGGTAAACATTTTTTGTTTAGCATGATTGACACAACTTCCTGGCATAGAGGAATGAGAGGGAGCAAATTCCTACGGTAGAAAGACTGTTGTTACCCCCCCTCCCCCCCAAACTCTTGGAGTTAAATAGGAAACATGAACAGCATTGCTATTTAGAATAGTAACTCAATAGAACAAGGACAAAGAAGATCATAGGTAGTTTTTAAATGAACATCTCATGTGATAATCATAACCTCTGCAGGCCAGATATCTGAAGAGAAAATATCCTCCAGGAGAATGGCCAAGAGTCACTGTTACCTTCAGATATTAAAGGTGGTAGTAAATTCTAGATGTATGTCTAGATGTATCTTAAAACACCACCGTCTTTCGATTGTGTTGATCTGTGGTAGATTATATTGCCTGATATACGTAAATAACCATCACCACCGTCACCCAAATGTACTACCAATCCAGATCCGAGCTGTGTGCATTATAATAGGATCTCTCAGGCATGCGATGGAACAGCCTAATTGGGAAGATTAATATGAAATGACGTAGGCTGGTCTGCTATAGAGGTCCACACCATCATCCTCAAATAACAAGGGAAAAAGAAACAAATACGTTCCTGTATCTTAACTCCGAGAATTGCCAGCATTTAGGAGGCACAGGCAGGGAATAAAACCCCTTGAAACAGTTGCAGGATCTGATGCGTTCCGGTCGCTCCCACATACTGGTGGAACCTCATCCAGGTGAGCCTTGTGGTCTTTGCCTCCATTTCTAACATTCCCGCAGCAAAGGAGGCAGTTTTGTACCAGGAAAGTGTCTACTCTGGTAGACCAGTAGCAGTACAAGGGCCCCAAAGGATATGTTCATAGCGGTCTCTTACTTCTGATTTTCTGCCTCTAATTTCAAGTTTCCTTGCTTTTGTGGTTTCTAAACCTGCCGTTTATATGGTTCCAATATTTTTAGAGGGTCGAATATCTTACTTATCACTGAGAACCAGGGGCCAGTTAGTTAAGGTTCCAGTTGAACGTGAAATGCGACTTCCTAAGCTTGTCATGCATCAAACTGTTATGGCTGGCAATTGTTTAAAAAAAATTCATTTTGTTATGAACTAGCCTGTTTTCAACTGGGCTGTTCAGAGATGGATTGCTTTCTGGAGTTTTTGACAGGTGTAATTGTTAAGGCGTCATCTGTTCTTGTTTGCACAAAATACATTTTAGCTAACTGTAGGACTTGCCCGCTAATCTTTCTCACATCATTCCATTCTTTGCTCGCCACTAGACAAATCCCCTGTTATTTGACCAGATGGTGGAAAATCCATTCTCATGATAAGTTGCTTCTAGTTTGCATTTAGATTACCTGCAAAAATGGAACAATTTACTACTCTGCCTCTAACCATCTCTTTCCTCCCTTTTCCCTTAGTTTGACTTCTTGTAACTAATTATTTAAATTCTGCCCTGTGAGTTAGAATTAGTCATAGCCTACACGTTCCACATGTATGTAAATGCACTCGAGTCCTCCCCCCCAGCTGTATGATGAGTCCATCCAGACAGCAGTGACATGAAGGGAAGGGCTGCTTGATGGGCAGGCGCTGTGGTTCATCATAGTTCCGCGATTGAAAGGCGTATTTGAACTTTTTACTGGTAGCGTTTAACCTTTAAAAACAAAATCCAGGTGAAGAAAATGAACTCAAAAAGCCTTTGGTTAGTAATGATCTGTTGTAGCCAGAAAGGGGAAACACTGAGTGTTAAGTGAACGGCGCCGCGGGGCTTTGTTCCCTGCAGACATTTTGTCGGTTGGTTTTTTACACCTGATGGTTTCCTCGATGGTATGGGGCAGGTAGACCCAACCTTTATTTTAACCCCGGCTGTCATTAGAGGGGTTGGTGAAGGGGATGGTCCATTTTATTCATTTTGTATTTTTGTCTCTTTATGACATACCTTTCCAAGATGGTTTACAGAAAGGCCGAGAATCAGGACTGTTCTTGGTAAATGCTCCTTAGTTCCTCATTTAGTTCAGAGCAAACAGCAAAAGAGCAGCATTAAAACAAGAAGACCCCGAATAGAAATGCGGAGGAGTTCAGTGTGGTCTCACACCATATATGTTTTTTTTTTTTTTAAATTTGTGATTTATATCATCTGATGTCGCTGCTTCCAAACTCTTCTCAGAATGTGTTTTCGTAAACTTAATGGCTAAAACAAATTCATCAGGGCAACCCTGTAACTGCATCTTGGAAACCAGCTCGCTCTTCACGTTGAGCTGTTTATGTTTCCTGCTTTCCCAGATCAGCTTTACAATGAAATAGCACACGGGTTAATGAAAACCTCTGGAATTCCAGTGATAGTTAATGAGTACATTTATGCCAGAAGTTGAGTGCAATAATCAAATGGGGCTTAAAAATCACTTTAAACAAGGGGCAAATGATTAATTATAAATAGAACTGTTGGCCGACTAAATTTAATAAGAGATTTGGGGCCAGACTGATTATAACACAGACAATATGTTAAATAATATCAGAGGAAAGCATATAAATACAGCTCCAGGATAGAACTGAACTTTTTATAAAGTGCTGTCCCCAGGTATATTGGACTTTATGAAATAGTAAGTAAACTTAATGACGTTAGAAACACACAGAAATTAGAAAAGGCTCGTCTGAGGTTTTAAGAAATAAGGACAGACTGCATGATTTAATTACTATTGAAGGGGATTGTGTGGTGTGTGTGTGAGCATGTGAGTGTGTGTATGGTGTGTATGAATTGTATGCATGTGTGTGTGGTGTGTTTTGTGTGTGCACATGTGTGTGAGTGTATGTGTCGTGTGTGTGAGTGCATATGTGTGAATGTGTGTGCATGTGTGTGTGTGGTGTGTGTGCGCACACATGTATCTACGTGTGTGTGTTTTATATTCCTGAAGATTAGATATTCTGTTACTTTCGGTTCGAGTTATTAGAGCAAACTGCTTGGTACTCTTACTGATATTTTGTATTGATTAAATTCCATGACTTCCCACTAACATAAAACAAGATAGGTTTCTTATTTCCTTTCCTCCTGAATGAAGAGATTTTCACTAAAAGGAAATGGTCAGAAAATGCCTTTCAGCATTTTTATGTTTGTATAAGGCAGGGAGTGAATTTATATGCTTAAGTGATACAAAGAAAAACTGTGTAAGCCCCCTCATTCCCCGTTGCCTTAACTGCCAGGAAGCCTGGAGCCGCTGTAATCAGCTCATCTCAGGTGCCTGTTAAGGTCTAACCCTCGCTCCCGATGGCCTTGCCTGTGTTTTCATCCCTAATTGGGTTCAGTCCCGTGAGCTGTATTACATCCCTTTAGAAGCCAGTAGTGTACACACGCTGTAGAAATTGAATAAAGCTGAAAAACATATTAACCCAACTATGGTTTTATAGCTAATTTACAGTTGCCTCCTCTCGTAATGCATGATTGGATTAATGACAATTCTGTAACGAAAACACTAATGACATTTGCTGGTTCTTTGTTTTTTTATAACATGTCCTTTAGACAATATTCATAGGGACTGTAGAGTGGGTTCAACTTCAGGCCTATGTCCTGCTTTAGACAATATTCATAGGGACTGTAGAGTGGGTTCAACTTCAGGCCTATGTCCTGCTTTAGAAACTATTCATAGGGACTGTAGAGTGGGTTCAACTTCAGGCCTATGTCCTGCTTTTCATCTGCTTCTGTGACTGTGAGATGAAGAGTGAAATTGTTCCCATGAAGAACTGCAATACTTACTTTGCTCTGGCTGCAGCTCTCTGAGGTGGGAATTCATATGCTATCGTTCACGTGCCCAGTACAGTTCTGAGTAGAGCCCAAAGGGTAAAGAGCAAAAATGGTTCCATTTCAGCACACTTGTTAGCCTGCATTCTGCTTGACTGTAGAGAATCTCTAGTCATGTCTATCTGTTTTTGATGCCTCTACAGAATAACTGCGCAGCATCCCCTGCCCAACCAATCAGAATGTAGGAAAATCTACAGATATGACGGAATCTACTGTGAATCTACCTACCAGAAGTATGTTGAAATCTTTGTGAGTCTGCCTTCTGGCTCGTGCATCAGTGCTTGTGGTTGCCAGTATTCAAATAATATATTTGTGTTGAAGCCTTATTTTTATTGAATTGATTTGGGGTGGGGGGAAGCCAAATCAAACAGAATGAAATGAAAACAAAAAAATTACCTCAAAAATCGAGGAAGGGGGAGAAGTCTATTATTTTGAAATTATGGTCGAAAAGGTTATTTTTTAAGTAGTTGTATTAAAGCTCTTAGGTAAGCCTTTTTATATTGCAGTAAACAAGTACTTATGTGCAAGAAAATCTCGGCAAAATACATGGCACAGGTGCTACGCATCTTAGGGATTTGAAAGGTGTGTTACGTATAAATTAGCTGTCACTTTTTTTCAATCCTGTAATGGAATGATGAGTTGTAATTTGCATAATCCTTTAAGAAGTCAAATTATACTGTCATGTAGCAGACTTAACATGCTAGCTAAGATTTCAGAGCTTTGCAGCTAATTACTATGTACCTTACAGGACAGTTAAATTGAAGTTGAGTCCTCTGTCTTTGCTGCCTTTTGCTCTGTCCATTACTTAACGGCATCCGCACTTTGGGTGACGCCGTCCAGGTAGACGCAGGAGGCAGCCCGTGGTCGCTATGGATGAAGTAAACAGGCTGCTGTGGGGAGGAAGTGGCATTTGAACATAGCAGAATCTGATTTCTGTGGCTTTGGCTCAGAAGGAAGTTGTGTTCTGTTTTTTTTTGTTGTTGTTGTTGTTTTTTTTTTTGTTCTCCCCCTGAAATGGTACAGCAAAGAGTCTTCTGAAAATGAATAAAAATATATGCTTTTAAAAAGCAATTATGGAATATTGGTTGAAGAGAGATTAACATCAGTTTTCTCTGTAGAAAGTGTAAAGTAACGTTCACATGGTTGCTCGGAAGGCATTAGTCCCGGCATGCTTTGCAAATATACGGTGCCGGGATTTTGTCTTTGTACTGTTTTGGAGAAGAATGTCAGTTTTGGAAAGAATAAAGCTCCCTCCCTAAAATTTCCGAGTACAAGTTGGTGAGCTTCGCTCCCACCCATTCCTCCACCTGGTGGTGGAGCATCTTCTTTCATGGTGTCCATGTTTAAGACAATTGGGAAATGCTGGAGGCTGGGAAGGCCGGGAACTGACACACAGTGGGTCCCTTGCCTTTGTAACTTCAAACAGTGTTTGATGATGACTGCATGGGTCCATATTTACCATTCTTCATCTCTGGCTTTATTTATTGATTGAATCGGTGTAACCACAGTGAAATATTATTTTCCATTCTGTGCCTCCTCCCCACGATTACTTGAGTCTTGTGGCTAGGCTTCTGTAGTTTGTTGGTGAGGCATAGTACTCTTGCCGTATGTGGATATTTCGAAGAAGCCTTTTGTTGTATAGGAAGCAGTCCTTCAAGGACGTACTAAAGCACCAATTGATTGTTGACCCTTCAAATAATGGTGCCCAGCAGTCAGCTATTGTTCATTTGTAATTAAGCCTGCTTCCCTTGTCTGAAATCGCCATCTGCTTCGAGGCAGAGGCTGGTCAGTGACTGAGGAGCACCGTGGGCCGTGCGTGATTTAGTTTATGGTAAGGCCTCTCCTTTCACCCTAGGAATCATCTCCGGGGACTTTTGTTGTTGTTGTTGTTGTTTTGAGAGCCGTTGTTATCTGCCGGCGAGGTAGATGCAGTAGGAGCACAGCTGTGACGGCTGGGGATAGTCACTTGGGGGATATTCATAACAAGGAAATATTGGCAAATAAATGATGAAGAAGGGGAGGAAATCCCCATGATGTTCAACCGAGGCTCTGTCACTGAGATGATTAATGGGGGTGCGGAGTGAGGATGCTTAACTGTATTGTCTGGTAACGTGGTAACGGGAGTGTGCATACCACGGCACCTGTAGAGAGCGTGCTGCGTGTGCGCGTGCTGATGGGGAGTGACTGGATTCAGACCTTATTTTCCGGGGTGTTTACCTCACCTCTTTAGCATCTCTGGCTCTTAGGAAGCTGGCGTCAGTGTATGTTACAGAGACTACGTCTATTTGATCTATTTCCTAACAGTATTTACATAGCTCGGCTCTTCCGCTGTTTTGTAGGAACCATGGCATCTTTCAGTGCAGTGAGGGAATGTTACCAGGAGTAGGGAAATGGCGATCACTCGGATCTGCTTCCTAGGCAGACAAGGACCCAAAACCTTGTTGAGCAAAGGGCTAGACTTTCCTTTGTGGTAGGGAAAGACAAGTTTCTAAAGAACCCATTGTTAGTTCTGGTGAAGGAGTAGCTGTCTTGGAAGACTGTCTAGCTTTTAGTGTCAAGTGTTTACCACCCTGATTTGATTGGCATGAATTATCCACTTGCTTCGAGGCATCATTTAGCAACTATAATTCTTGGATATGTGGGAAAATTCCTTTGCCTGCTTGGACCTTTATAATTACTGCCAGGCATGGTAACCGCTCAGGCAGATGATGTAGAATCCTGTCTTCAGTGAGTCTGTTGTCTGTGCTGTTGAATTTTCTTGAACCCAAAGAGAAGGGGTGGGTTCAATGTAGTGATAAGGTGAGCGAGAAGAGAATGTTTTCATGCATTGTAAGCCAGCAAGTGTTTATGTGTTGGCGCTTCTGTCTTGCTTCTACCCCCAGCGTGCCTTGACTCAGCTGCACATGTATGTGCTGAATGGGTCGCAAGGGAGAATGCGTCTACTAATGCATTTCCCATCCCCCAAAGAACAAGAAATACTGTCGTACAGGACCAGGTAGATAACTGTAAATAGAACTCATGGGCCTGGATCATTCTACATCCAGGGTACAGTAGATTGGAGAGGCCTCAGGCTATCCCATCTGTCTATCCTATTCCGGGGTGTGGGGTCCACTTGCATCCACCTCTTTCCATGGGATGGATGACCCCTTATTAGACAGGTGGGATTGGAGAAAGTATTGGCACCACACCAACTGGAAAATGCTGCAGACCGTGCCCTCCGCAGGTTGCTCAGCCCTCACCAGCATGGCATTACTCAGAACCCTTCCGGCATTAGCCTGTGGTTCTTTATTGATTGTGACTTTCTATTGTATTTAGATTTTACTTGGGAGTTTTCCAATGGCTAGGCCATTTCAATAATATTAAAAAGATTAAGCAAATATAGCCATAAAGCCTGTGATTAACTGCTTCTGCAGCTCTATTTATTATTGAAAATACCTACTATTTTTAACTGCCTTAATGGATTTCAATAATATGCCTTCATTTTAGCAAACTCATTTATAAATTACTGGATTTGATTGAATTTGTGCCAGTGTTCTTTCAAAATTAAGACAGGGCTTAATCTTCATCTTTAAAATGTAAAAGTAAAAGCAATGTAGACAATCAGAGAAGGGAAAATGACAGTTTTTATTTGTTTATCTGTGAGGAGTTGGGAGAGAAAGACTATGGTAAAATGTATCGTATGAATTTCTTAAAAAGCCAGTAAATTCAAAAAATGTAAAGTAAAATAAGGAATTAAAAAGATATATGAAAATCGATATTACATTAAATTTATTTATGTATTGCGTGTGTTGGAGGAGCATGCCACAGCACAATTGTGGAAGTCAGGCTGACAGCTATGGCAGCTGCTACGTCTTCCATCCTGTGGGTCTTCAGGTGTGGTGGCGAGGGCCTCCACCCGCTGGACCAACTCACAGGGCCTTGTTTTGGGTTTCAATGAGAACAGGAAAATATGTGGCTTATGAAACAATCACCAACAAGAGAAGGCACTGTGGTAATGATCCTATAGGTATCAAGATTATTTGAGCCAGGTATGGAGGCACACGCTTGCGCTTCCATCACTAGAGAAACTAAGGCAGGAAGATTATGCATTACAGGCTAACTTGAGCTGTACAGCTTGATCCTATTACAGAGGGTAGAAGCTGGGAATGAGGAGATGGTTCAGCCATTAATTCATCTGATACTCAAGCCCGAGGGCCTAACCAGCACCCATATAAAGAGAGAGGTGTGGTGTCATGGGATGTGTGTGTGTGTGTGTGTGTGTGTGTGTGTGTGTGTAACCTCAGGCTGGGGTGGGAGGAGGTGAAGACAGATGGATCTCTGGAACACACTGGCTAGTTAGTCTAGCTAACCAATGATCTCTAGGTCAAGGGAGAAACTGTGCCTTCAAAGACAAGGTGGAGAGCAATAGGGAAAGTTATCAGATGTCCACCTCTGGCCCCCATATGTCAAAAGTGTGTGTATGTGTGTGTGTGTAGTTCAGTGGCAGACTGATCACCTAGCATATACAAAACCCTGATCTGATCTCTAGCATTGAAAAAAAACATAGTAGTAGCAGTAGATTAACTAAGTTGGACTGAGACATAGGCGCTCCAGAGGTTAAGTTACAATTCACCCTAGAGTTGGCCCTGTTGCTGAGGGATTTGCAATAAAGTAGGATATCCTTTAGACCGTGTTCAAGAATAGTCATTGCCCCCGCACTAGAAAGCCCGAGTCTGCAGGGATTGCCATCCATCACCAACCTTGCCTGAAGGCCTGTGCTGCATTGCAGCAGGTCCTGAAAGACTCCTGTGAAATGCAAAGGTCCCATCTGGAGGACCTTGGCTCAGAAGTGCAGTTAACAGTGAGTGCCCCATTGCGAATGTGTTTGCATCAGCCTTGAACTTCTGTTGCCTAGAGCAAGAGGGTTATGGAAGAGTAGAAGGTGTGTTTTCTAACTTTCTACTTTGTCCCAGCCCCTCTCCCTTCTTGAGGAGTTTCACTTCGCTTGTCTATCTGCTTAGGACTTCAAAAGACTGTCCTGTCTCTTCCGCAGCGAGTTACTCTCTGCACACCTCATGGCAGACCCAGTGTTAACTTGTGATACTCCTGTCCTCAGAACTCTGCATTAAAAACGTTGTCTATTTAGTAGGTATGGGGAGGGCACATGTGCCATGATGCACTTGAGGAGCCAGAGACAGTTCTCTCCTCCTATCATGTGGTTCTCTGTGACTCCAGCTCAGGTCCCAGGCTTGGG